ATGTCGAGACACACGAACCAGAAGCTCTAATGCGACACTGAGAATGTGAGTTTAGGCCTGCACAGAAACTTGCCCACAAATGCTCACAGCTGCGTTAGCTATCATTGCCATGTCTAGAGGGGACTAAAATGAGTCTCAGTGGTGGGGAGGATGCAGGGTCTGTGGCCCAGCTCGATAGCAGAGAGCTCATCACCCACAAATAGAAACTGAGCCGTGAACAGACATGGAGGGACCTCAAATACAGATCACCATATATAAATAGCTGGTGAGAGAAAGCTGCTGACTGGCCGGTTCCGGCGGTGTGGCGCTGTGGAGAGTGAATGGGGGGTGGTTAGACGTGAGACTGTGCGGTGTGATCTGGTGACTGTGCGTGGGACATCACATACGTGGCTGAGCCCACAGTGGCATCTGTCACCCGATTATACACCAGGGCTCCAGTGAGGAGGAGTCTTCCTCACACAAGCACAAAGGTAAGGATGTCAGCCAGAGGACCACGTGTGGGGCCAGGAGGATACGGGAAACATGATATACTTGTGGGAGTTTTCTGTAAACCTAAAACTGACCTAAGCTACTGATGGTGTGCTGAGAATTCTAAAGTGATGCACTCAAACTTCTGAGAAGCAGATAAAATATGTCTGAAAAAGATGAGGCATGACCTAGCTGGAACCTCCCAGTGACATCCTTTTACCTCAACCCAGAGGTAATCACGATTTTAGATAAACAGCCTTCCCTTTCTTTATTTTAAAATGGTGTTGCCACTTTTATGGGTCCTTGAAGTGTATTGCTTACCTTCCATCTTTGAACTTGAAGTATGTGAAAAGATGCTTTGAGTTTCATCTATGCCTATCTGCTGTTGTGAACACCTGTGTGTGTTTGTATGTGTATGCATGTGTGTGTGTGTGAGTATGTCTGTGCGTGTGTGCATATGTGTGTTCATGAGGGTCACTCTCCATCTTGTTTTGTGAAGCTGAGTTTCCCACTGAACCTGCAGGTGACCAATTTGACTAGCCAGGCTGGTCAGCCAGCTCTATCTATAGAGACTCATGTCTCTATCCCACCAGGACTGGGTCTACGATGCATACGACTACACTTGCTTTTTATGTGGGTCCCAGGGATTTGAGTTCAAATCTTCATGTTTGTAAGGCAAACCCCAAGCCATTTCTCTAACCTTGCTGTCTGCCCTTGTCCATCTGCACGTGTCTAGTTGCTGCTTGACTATTCTGTGTGTTGCTAAGGCACATGGGTGCTCTCAGCTCGAGACGCTCTTAAACATCCTCTTGAGAGTTGACCCTCTGCCCCTCCAAGGTGCACTGTGGGTTTTCTCTATATAATGGTTATCTTGAGATATCTTTATTGGACTGTGGACCATGTGCATGTCAAACTGTTTCCTGAGGCTGCACCAATGTGTCCAGCACCCTGCTGTATACAGCCTCCCATAGCTCAGTGCTCTTGGCATCTGGTCAGCCTGATGGGCTGTCTCTTCTCCAGGGCAGCTGCCTGGGTCCCTCCCACCTCCTCCACTGTCCTGTCTCCTTCATCTAAGAAGCTTTGCCCAACCCTCGGAGGCCAGCTCTGCCCAAACCCAGTGCTTCCTAGGACCTTCAACTCCCCAGCACACTGTTCAAGGGGAACTGTCACAAAGTTGTGTGTCTCCCTGCCGCTCTGACAGTACCTGAAGGCAGAGCCACACCTCAGTTACCAGGCTTTTCTGGAGTCCAGCTAACAGATAGATGCTACAGATAATGACTTGTGTCAGTCTGGGGCACACAGAGAGGCCAGAGGCTGGATGATGGGCACAGAGGCCAATGCCCAGCCTTCTGGGGGGGGTGCTGTGTGCGGTCTTGGAAGGGAGATGATGAAGAACTCAGATGCTCTTCCCTGTGGCAGCCTATCCATTTGTGAGCAGGGACAGCTGGGCTGAAAGCACACTACCCTGCTTGGAAAACAATCTGTATCCCTCCCTGGCTGTGTGGCTTTGGGAAAGTCACTGAACATTTCTGTGCATATTATAGTTTTCTCATCTACAGGCTTTAAACTAAGTGACTTCATATGTATAACACACTCAGAATGGTTCCTGGCATGGGACAGGAGTGACATCAGTATTTATTACATAAAAATAAAGGCGGATGACAATCAGGCCACTTTCTATAGGACTGTGGGGTGTTTAATTTCCTTGGGCCCTAAGTGTAGTCACTGGGGAAGAAGTGCTTATAGGTCATCTCTGTCACTCTGCAGCCCTGGTCCTTTCTCTCTCCTCTTACCACCTAACGGGCCAGTGCAGGTTGGCTTGTGAGTTTTGCCCACTCCCAGATAGCCTGTGTGAACTACGGGGTCGAGGCTGGCAGTTCTGAACTCCGTGTCCCCAAGAAGGATGTCCTTAGGTGCTCAGTTGGGCAGTTCAGGGCTAGCTCGTCCTGTTCTAGGAGACTAGAGTTGGCAGAGTTCTGAATGAGGGAGATTCTGGAAGGCTGGGGAGGGAAGGCAGCTCAGGTCTGATATGGCTAGGGCACTGAGCGACACAGCTCTGTAGTAGATGAATGACCTTGTGCTGAAGCTCAAGCCATTTATTTGGTAGAGAAGATTCCAGAAGCAGGCAGGCAGCAACAGAATGAGGCTTCTGGTATCCTAGTGGTTTTAGAGAGCTCAGAGCAAGCTGAGGTGTGACTGAGGAGGAAGGGGAAAGGGACAGACCCCATAGACCTTCAATCAACTCCCTTTAGCCCAGAGTTCCTTCCTGGCTGACCCGAAAATTTTGCCCCTTCAGTGAGATTTTAGTCGCCCTATAGCCTGGGTACATTGTTGTATTACCACAGAGTACTGTATCTAGCAGGGAGTCTGGGAGAAATCTCTGAACTGCTTAATATCTTTCAGTGGAAAATTGTAGGGACCCTGCTGTGGGTTGACATGGCAAAGGGTTCTGCTACCATGGCAGCAGACAACACAGGGCAAGTCCCCACCCCCACTCCCCAAAAAAGTGGAAAAAGAGGAATATCCCAGAAAGAGGTTCAAGAGAAGTCTCAGCAGTATCAGGGATGGGGGCAGGGATGGGGGTGGGGAGCAGGGTCAGCCTGGACTTTGTCTAGGACAAGCTGGATGGCCCTGGGCAGCATCTTCTCTCTTCCAGACTAAGTTTTCCTCTTCTCTTCTGGCAGCTTTGGAGCAGTAACCTGGCAGGTCTGGGATGCAGAGGAGCCATTGACAGCAAACATGCTCAGGACAGGCAGGAGGGCAGAGAGACCCCAATAGGCAAACCATCGGCCAACAGGGCAGGCGGCATGAGAAAGATTTCATTTGGATGTTCCTGGGGACACAATTCCCATGTCCAGAGTCTGCTGCTCTGGCTGAGCCATGCTGTAGGTTTGCAGCCCCACTCTATACAGGGAACAGTGCAGCCTTCAGGTCTCTGGGACACCCTGGGCCTGGCCTTCAGTGGCCTTCCCTGGGCTCCTCCATCTTGCTTTCTTTGCTTTCCTTCCCTGGTTTCCTGGGTGAGCAGTCTTCCCTGGCCTATCACCTGAGTATGTGGGATGGAATGGACATGTTCTGACTCCTCCCACTTTCACAGACATGTGGCCAGCGATCAAAGCCCTAAGGCAACTGCTAAGAACTGTTCAGGTGTTCCAGGGTAGGTGGTCCTATGGCCATTCACCTGCTAGGATACATTCTGCTGGGCTTTTGCTTCCTTACCAGGAGAATGAAGTTAGGCACAGCTCAGACATTTCCAGAATCACAATGAAGGTTAGATAACTCACGGCACCAGCTATGATCACCATCACCATTGCCCAGGGACAACTCTTTCTGCTCTCCCAGTCCTGAGGGGTGGATGAGGAAACCCCTAGGGCACTGACTATGTTCTTTTGTCAGTTGTACCTGATGAGCAGCAACCAGGTATCTCTATACACAACTGGAAGAGCCTGTCTGACTGCGTGACTCGGTGGCTACCCTTTGACCCACAAGCACAACTGATATTGGCCCTCCTGCTGCCATTCTGTTGCTCCTGCATCTTCCCATGGTGCATGCAGAATGAAGAGATCTCCAGTCTCTTGCCTAAGTGATGTTCTGATTGCACAATTCCTCACTGGGCTGAATAAAACCCCAGTCTGTCTCCATCTAAGTGTGACTGGACATCTTATTTGGTTAAATGACATAAACCTCTGTCCCCAGCTCATAGGCCTCCACTTCTTGTTTAGATTAAGAATACACATGACATCCTGTGAATAAAGATTCCCCTGATAATGGAGCAAGAGGAGTGGCGACTCTCTGGATCTCCTGGAATTTGCTACACTGACATGACAGTAAATACCACCTGCCAGCTAGCACCCCACAAAGCCAAGCCTACTTGTGTGAGGAGAGAGAGCAGATACCCGGGAATTCAGACTCCCTAAAGTGAGGTACCTCATAAAGGCCAGTGCAAGGATTTTTACAAGACAATTAAAACCTACACAAACTCAGAGTGAAACAGGGTCTCCATATATAGCCCAAGTTGGTCTTGCCCTTTGATCCCCCTGCCTTCACCTCTGTTGTGTTGAGATTACAAACTTGGGCTGCCACGCCTGGTTCCCACTGTATACGCCGCAGGACTTTTCTGTGAGGTTCTTTATCTTAACAACAAATGCCCAGTATGGAGTGTGTAGAAAGAAATCCATTGCTCGTTGCCTTGAATATCATATAGTAAGTACGACCTCTTAGTGCGTGTTCCCTGCTTCCAAGGTGGGACACAGGCAGTGTAATTTCTCACTCGAATGAGCAGGTACATCGGCGCTTCCCCGGTTATGACAATATCTTCCTCCAAGAAGTCCAACCTTCTCCCTTAATCTGGAATCTATTAATACAATATTAAGTTGTTCCATGGTACCTTCTATTTGCCCTTCCTGAAATAACCTAGGTCTCAAACGTAAGGAGGTGGAGTAAAGGAGGAAACCGCGTGGTACGAAGCCAGCTGTCATGATGTCCGGGTGTCCCCGTGGTGCCGCCTGCCTCCCCCTGCCTTGGCCTCTCACCTCCATGCTGTATCTCTCCACTGTCCTCCGCAGGGGGTCCACAGCCTGCCAACAGATCAGGATGCACAGGTCGATCAGCAGCATGCCCCCCACAATCACAAGCAGCTTCTGGTCTTTGATGATCTGGAGAGGGAAAGAGCAAAGTGGGGCAGACATGAGAGGGCTGCTCAGACAGGGTGAGCCACGCTCTTTTCTTTGCTTGGCTTCCCTGAGCACAGTCCAGGCAGCACCTAAACACACGCTTGCACTGGCCACGGTTAGTCTCTGCTCAGTGGTGGTTTTCACCTTTCAGTGTGAAACATTCATCTTTATGGTGTGATGGCCCCCTCTCCCTTCTCCTTTTCCTCTTCTTCACTAGGCATGCTCTCCTGTATCCTAAGCTGGCTTCCACTTCCCTATGTTGCCAGGAGTGAGATTGAACTTCTGATCCTCCTGCCTCCACTCCATGTTACATGTGCTCACAGGGAGGGGCATGGGGATGAACCTTGGCAGCTATAAGCATCACCTGGATTTTAATGACTGCAGTTGATGTCCCCCATCTCCAGCCACCATATAAATAAAAGCTAACATGATAAAGTCCACCTGGAAAAGATTGATGGAAAAATAAACAAAGCTGAGACATAAGCTCAAGAACATCGCCAGCTCTGATTACTAAAGATTAAGGCCATTTTTAAAGGAGGAAATAATAACTCAGGAGGCTTCAACGTAGCTCATTACAAACAAACAAACAAACAAACAGACAGACAGACAGACAGACAGACAGACAGACAGACAAAACAGAACATGCTGCTAATCAAATCCACAAGAATAGCTTCTCTTCGGGCTGGAAAACCAGGTACCCCACCTGCAATGTTGAGCTTTTGAGAAGTGTCTGGTGACTACTGAGATTTTGTGAGAACAATAACCTTTGCCCCCTGGGGAGCCAGACAACTCTCTAACCAGGCTTGAGCCTGGTATTCAGGACAGGCCTTTGTTCTCCAGGATGGATGTAGGGGTGCATACATGAGAGGCATTTGCTTTTCAGGGTGCTCCTGACTTTCCTACTTGTGTGAGCCCAAGCAGATTCCCAGGACTCTGTGCCTCTGACATGCCTTGTGTGAGCTCAGCTGACCTTAGAAGACCAAAGACCCCTCTGATTTGTACAGAAGGTCAAACCCTTTCCCCAAAAAACTCAAGGAAGAAGTTGAGGATGACACTGGACAGTGTGTCCCATATGGATCCTGGCTCCCCTTTTTGCTGCTTGTGTAGTGACAACAGAAGGAGAGGAAGGGGGCTCATGTTTCATTCTCTGAGGGTGGCATAACCGAATGAACAAAGGCCTCCTTCTAACCTGAGGTGTTGCCAAATGCTTAACTTAGCTTCAGTTTTCTCCTTGTTAAAGGGGTTCCAGATTCCCAAGTGACATAGTTGATATTAGCATCAAATGAGACGAAATTTGGAAGGCACCCAGTGTGGATCAAGGATGGAAACTGGGCCATCACTGGGGGTTTGAGCGTTAGTGATGCTGTTTGTGTGTGGAACAGTGACACCTAGGGGCGAAGTGTGATATTACACCTCAGTTCTATCAACTCTACCAATCCATGGCGGGAAGAATACAAGAAGAGGACATTTATAATTCCTTTTTGGAAATATGTATTGAGTGCTAACATGTAGTCAGTCTCTGTCTTAGGCACAGGGAATGCATCAGTGAACACATAATCCCACTCTGGGGGAGCACTCATTAGAGTGGGGAGGACAATTAGTGAGAGATTGAGCAGACGTCACAAATGAAGTGTCAAAGAAAAGTGACTTAAAATGATCCAGAGGGGCTTGGAGAGATGTCTCTGCAGTTAAGAGCACTGACTGCTTTTCCAGAGGTTCTGAGTTCAATTCCCAGAAGCCACATGGTGGCTCACAACCATCTGTAATGGGATCCAATGCCCTCCTCTGGTGTGTCTGAAGATAGCTACAGTGACCTCATATACATACATACATACATACATACATACATACATACATACATACATACAT